GATCTTTCTTCCCTTCGGTGTTCGAATAAAAAGCAGTAGCTTTCTGGATTAATTGGTAGATGGGTCAGAGTAACGCACCTGAATGTGGAATGTGTCCTTTCCAAAACTCCAAACTCAGAAAGTGCTGTGCTCTTTTTGACTGAAGGAGCTGACAGATGTAGCAACATTTTTTTCTATCTTCAGAAGGAATATTTCCACATACCCCATACCACTGGGATCCTAGAAACATTAAAAGGTGGAAGAATCCTAGATTTTTATCAGAGTACCTTCCCACTCCGTAACATGTAGCTGTCTTACCAATGAGTCTATAGTAACTTCTACTTCTTGCCTTACTAAATCCTATAAGCATAGTATCATCAAGGTGATAGAATAGTTTGATGTCTTGTAGGTGTGGGGCTTTAAAACTTGTAGTTCATTGAGGCAGCACAGCAAAAATGCATTGCTGGCTTATGCAGCCAAAATAAAGTGGCTTATGATGGTTTTTAATGTCAGATATAAAAAAGTCAAAAAAGGAAGGCATATCAGTGTCTGTCTAGCAATTACCAAGGTGAAGTTGCATTTCATCAATCATTAGAATAGAAGTTGCAATGGAGGCTGAGCTTAGTGGCACTCACCTGTAGTCCCACCTCTCAGGAGGCTGAGGCTGGAGCATTGCTGTGAGTTTGAGGCCGTCCTGGGTTACAAAGTGAGTTGAAGGCCAGCCTGACTGAACAGTGAAACCCAGTCTCAAAAAGACAACAGAAGTATCCACAAAAAAGTTTCAATTAGAGTTACAACCTGATTAATTTAGGATAACCCAGGGCCATTCTTCAAAATCATGTTTTTTGGTGCTTAAGCTAAATAGGTAAGTTGAACAGAGCGGTAGTGGTGATTATCATCCTGCATCCATCAAGTCCTGGATCATGGTTCCTTATCTCTGCTATTCCCTGAGAATGGTAATGTTGCTTTGTTTTTTTTAAAACAAATTTTCTGAGGTAGTCTCCTAGAAGTAGCTCCTCTTTGACTTTGTTAACATCACAGAACTACTTCACGAGTCAGGAAATTAATATGGGAATTCTGTTAGTTACTAAATATATTTATCCAAATCATACATTCTACAACTGAATAAAAAGCACTACAGGATAGATCTGGAGATTGCTGGGTTCACTGTAAGATGGACTTGAGGTGAAATGTCACCAGGATCCTGACCTTCACAGTCAGTCCCTCCTTTGACTGTTGGACAACATTTATGAGTGTGTGTCATTAGTGTTCTTTCAAGCCATTGTTTAATAATTGCTGAAGAGCTTGTTCAGCTCCTTTTCCACAATGTACAGTCAGCTGGGTAAAATGCTCCATGTCCTATTAAGCAAGGCTGGGAGAGACACTAACAGTATAAAATTTTAACAATGTTTTATGTGTTCTTCCACAAAGTTCTTGATGTCTCCATTATTTAAATGATTATGGGTCTACAAGCTGACTCAAGTCTGAAAACTGAATAACAACTTATGATTTTTTAATGATTGAAATTAGATCTCCATTAATCTGACCTAGAACTTCTGGATTTAAACAAATGAGTCAAGAATTTAATAGCCTGCCCTTCTATTTCACTTCCAATAGTCAAAGTTACAGGTTTCACTGCATCTGATTGTTCTAATTAGTACTCTGATCCCATTGTCCATAGCCGTGTTCAACTTCCTTTGGCACTGATGTGGTCCCACTTGGTCCCTGCAACACCAGGATGCAATTAGTAGCAGAAGTTCCTACTAATTTCTCACCTATACAAAAGACTAAGCAAACGTTTCAAGTTTCTTCTTGAAGATGTATTCCTCAAAGTCATGAAGAAAAATGTCTTTTCTGACCAATCCTGGACCTTTAGCACGGTGGGCAAGCAAATCTTATATTGTAACTCTATTTTCACATTCCAATGCCCTTCAGACTTCTAATATCCTACGTGGTATAGTAACATAAAAGTCTCAAAATTCAACTTAAAGCAGCGTAGGATATTTTTAGTTTATGTTTTAGCCACTCAGTCAAAAACCTGTTAGACCCCTTTCTCGATCCTGAGCTACAAGTTTAAATCTAGAATCTCTACATGTCCAATGATACTTTTGATATAATATCACTTTCTTTTTGATATAAATTTAAATTTATTTTCATTGATATTTAAAACAATAAAATGCATATATTTATGGGGTACTAAATGATGTGTATATTGTATAATATTTATATTAGTAAAAAATATCTGTCTCCAAATATTTATCTTTTCTTCATGTTAAAAACTCAAAAAAGTCAAAAATACTTTCTTCTAGTTGTTTGAAACATACAGTGCACAATCATTATCTACACTCACCAAACTGAACTGTAGGTCATCAAGTCATCTTGCTTATATCTAACTACAATTTAGTACTCACTGATCAATCTCAGCCTTACTGGCAAGGGAAAGTCATGCTACAAGTGTATCATTTTCCCCTAGGTCTCTCAGATGTGCTTCCTAAGTTCCAAGTAGATGTTATAACTACTCATTTTCCAGGTACTTGTGTAGGTGTTTGCATCAAATGTAAAGCTCTGATAAGAAAAGTTTTGTAGAAGCTGTATGGCCCGGGGTGGTTATCAGTGTGTAAACACAATTTTACTCATTGTGAAGGAGACCTCTATAAATCAACTGGTGTGACACTGTAAAATATTGGATTAATTTGGAAAAGAAAAGCAAATCAACCTTATTGTTGATGCCTGGGGGTTAATGGTTCTACATTTTCATTTTGATTCACTTATTTTGATCTTAAATTGTTAAGGCTCAATTACTAGAGATAAACCCTATCTAGTCTCATTGCATAATTGGTTTTTGTAAAGCCCATTATCCTAATAATTATACTCTAATTGGCATAAAAATGATATATTCTGATAAGCAGCATCAAGAAATGATAACAGTAATTAATAGTAATTAAATTCCATACATCTCATTGTAGAGCACAGAGGTTGCAATTGATTTTGAAAGTAAATTTATCTAGAATTTAAACCAAAAAAATACCTTGAAATCTGTTGTTTTGTTTTTTAACTCATCTATTCCGGATAAAATATGTTAAAATTTAAAACTAAGAAACTTTTCATTCTTAAAATAATTTTGTGTGGATTTGATAGCTATAGTTAGCATATGTGCTTTTATTCATTCATTCTATTCAATTCAACCAGGTCACTCTGTGTCAGACACTGAGCTGACTTCTGAGGAACAAATCAGTTATATAAAACAGATCCTAGCCATTAAATTTCATCAAAATTCAAGTTTTAAGATGAGATCCCCAATTGTTGGGGGACTTGACTTCAGGTTAAAATGCGGCCTCTTTTGGTGGCAGCGTGGTTATGGGGACTGGGAAGATTCTTTCTCTCTGCTCTGTTGCTTGAAGAGGAACAGACTTGAAGATGGCATTCTTTTCATATCTCTTCTGTTCCTCTTGGGCCCAGAATCCTTTGGGAAAGGTAAATTTATCCAATTAAACATGAGAGACAAAACTAAGTTTTCATGGACAAGTCCATCTCTTTTTCTTATTTTAACTGTTCATATTTGCACAAAATATACTCAGTTCCATCTATTCTTGGTGTAAATATCCTACGAGGTAGATCTAACACATGTGAGGAGAGACATCCTATTGCCAAGGATTTCCCATAACTGAGCAGAGAAGACTACCTAACTCTGGAACTTGCCCTGAGGAAGTCTGTTTGCCTATACACCTAATCTATATTCTCTAGCACTCTATCATTTGACCCATGTCAGTGTTCCTGTCTCTCTTCACGTTCTGCAAATCAACTAGGTTTCCTTTTGCAATGCTTCTGATCCACGTGGATTAACTAACACCACTCAGGTAAAGCAAGTTCAGAGCAAAATGCTGAAGTCATTGGGGGAGGAATTTCTTTAACGAGTGTAAATGTAAAGGCTAACACCAGTGTTTGATAGTTCACCACAATCTATGTGGTCTCTTGGTCTCTATTTCAGCAGGTTCTGAAATTGGATGGGGAAGAAATTTATTATGTATTAGAATCCCCAAATAATAACATTCTTTTAAAGGTTCTTTCTTTTATTGATATTATTTTCTCCTTTAAATCTCTATTTATTAACTATATTATGTTACAAATTTTACTGTTTATTTAACCTTTACTCTCTGCATCTCTTTCACAATGAAAAATATATGAATTAATATCTACCTGATTACCAGAAGGTGATGCTTTGGGCATTGATTAGATCTGTAGCAATTTCTTTAAATACAATTAAGTGTTAGAACAATGCAAGCAGAACTTAGCCAGCTTTCCCTGGATTTAGCAAATTATATTACTATCATTTATTATATTACTATCAATTATGAATTTTTACTTTCATAGTGGTTATTCTACATAATAAGCAAAAAGTCTATAATGAGAGAATCATATTTCCTTTCAATAGTGATGGCAATTTTATTTACCACTTATCTGATTTTCAAGTTTTAAATGTGCTAGTGTCATATGATTCTTGCACATGAAAGTTAACAACACTAAATTTTTAAGTGTAAATGATCAGGTTTCAGGTTAAAATAGTACTTCTGACACAGACATCATAACTTTGTTGTGGGTCACCTACAAGTTCATAAATAATACAATGCTGAGGAGTATCAAATTGTACGTAAAAAGAAGAAAAGCTTAGAATGCAGAAAGTAAGAAAAGAAACAAATGGACACAGGAAAATACAAAAAGAAGAGGGAACAATAAAGCATAAATCACAGCATACTTGGCAAAATATTAAATCCATAAAGTATCCTAGTTAAACCTGAGATGTCAAGAAAGTTTTTTTTTCATGCATATAAAACTCTGTAATATTTACATAGCACACAGTAGTGAAAATACCTGAATATTTTTAGAAATTCTTTTGCAGTACTGCACATAGCAGCATCTGCAAGGTGTAGTTAAAAATTATGGTGATTTCTTAACATTTTTAAATGCTACAGTATAAAACATTTTGCTATTAATCACTCTAAAAACACTTCCTCTCCCCGCAGAGACACTTATCCCATCGTTCTTGCTGCACTGTGAATTTGGTCTGGAAGACTCTTTTCCTGTCTGATCCCATCCCTGGAATTGACTCAAAATGTTTACTTCTCACAGTCATTTAGACTTTAGGGAACAGCTGGATGCTGCATGGTGCCAGAGCTGATGGACAAGGTGAGTGAGAATGGACCATACTGTCTTTGAAGCCTGTCTTTCCACTTAGTGGCAGTGTTTACTGTACTTATGATCACACCTTAGCTTTATGAAACAGGTCTTCAGAAAATGTCAAGAATAGTGCAGTAGGTTTGAAGCAATGAGAAATACTTTAAGATTAATGGCAATGTGTGTTTTACCCTAAGTTTTAAAACTTAAACTGTCACAGCATATGTCAATCCACCTTGTACTTAAGTATTTCTGATCTGTTTTATAGAAGGTACATAACTTGTATTGTTTTTCCAGTTTCAGAGAAAATTTTGAACTGACACATCCAGGTTCCCTTTTCTTTTCTCACTGATGATTATGTCACAAACATAAGAGAGTCACCCAGAGAGAGGGATTCTATTTGAAGTAGTGGAATTGGTAAAAATAATTGATTCATAACATTCTGGAAACCACAATAAATAAACAATATTTGAAGAAACCAGTTATATTTAGTCTGGCATATGAGGATGAGAAGAACAATAATATAAGCTTCAAAACTTTTAAGAATTTTCATGTGAAAAAATTAATATTATATGATTATAGAAGAAAAATTTTAAGATTGATAAGCAGAGACTACTTGGAAGCAAATTTGAGCTAAATTCAAGGGAAACTCTTTGGAGATTAGGATTGTCCAAGAATAAAGCTCTGGACATTTGTATTTCATTAAATTTGTGTAAGGAGGTATTACAGTTGGGAATTTCTACACTGCATGGATTTTGAACTAGAAGAAAAATAAAGGCTCTTTATGGCTGTCTGATTAATATCCCCTAAGCTTTATCATTATGACGTTCTTAAGAGTTTATGATCATTATACATGTTAAATGGAAAGAGAATTTAGCATCTATGTCTACATCTTTCAAGGCAAAAGAGTAACTAACTTAGGCTCGATGATAATAGTGTTAGTACATGCAGCCATTTCGCTGTGCTTCACAATCTCATTGCAAACTCATTGGCTAAGTTTGAAGGTTAGTCACAACATCACCATGCATCAATTCTCTTAGCGTATTATTCTATTCCCTTCTAATTATCCATGTCTACAGAACTCCAGTCAAGACCCAAAGCACCACCCAATAATCTGGAAGGCTCAGATTCACTTCTTTTACTTCCCTTGGACTCTAAGTATCATATATGAAGCAAGCATACGGCAGGCATTGTCTTTATTTGCTGACATCTTTTCTACATATATTGGAATATTGTAGGGTGGAAAACATATCTGTAATTTTTAAGCACCAAATATCTTGCCCAATCTCAGAGCAGTCATTTGAGTTAGAACCCAACATGTTTGTTGAGTGAACACTGGAGTTTCACCTGTGCATTTATTGAAGGATTTCTGACAAAATGTAGGAAAAGAAATTATACCTAACTGAAGACACATTTATAGTATGTGGAACAGGTGCTGACAACAAATAGCTGAATAAGAACCAAATACTGTTTGTTTTTTGTTATGTCCTGATTTTAGCTTGCACACATTTTAAACTGCCCCTTTTATCCATATTTAAAATCATTATTCACAGAACAATGCCGATATCTAATTTCTCTTTAGCAATAATCAATTCATTGTCCTTCATTTTGCCATGACTGATATTTTGATTAGACATAAGCTTTTAATTTATCAAACGTCCTACTATCCTTTATTGTCTCTAGGTCCCAGGACACCAGAGGAGACTTACAAGAGTACGTACAGTTTGGGACAGAGTGGCCATTTTGTTTTTCCTCTTGCCCATTGTTGTGTTTGGAACATTGTTAAAGATACCTGTTTTTAAGATGGAATTTAGTGTTCAGCTTTCTACTACAATATGGAAATGTAGCTCATGGTCTTCTTTATGGCCAGAGTTTGAAAATTTCAGAAACAGTAATCAAGATATTGATAAGGAGTTGGAGAAGTGTATAGTCATTAAGGTTTACAACAATGTTTTCATTTACAGCATTGAAACCCCACTTTAATAGGTAAGCCAATAAAACCTAAATGATCCAATAATATATGAAGCATAAATACTGTATATGAATAACATATACAGCAAAAATATTCAAATAGATAAATAATATACAAAGCACAACAAACATGAAGCAAATTCAAAGGAACTGATCTATGTATATACAACTAGAATCTACAGCTAAATCTCTCTCTCTCTCTCCCTCTGTGTCTCTCTCTCTCTCTCTCTCTATATATATATATATATATATATATACACAGCCAAGAAGAGCTGATTATAAAACAATAAAACTTAAAATATATTTTCAAAGTAGATAAAACATACTAGCAATTGTTGAAGAATTGATGCATAATTAATTTTCAATGTTTATCTACAGTTACATTTAGGGCAATTATTCATATTTATGTGTGTTAACTAAAATAAATGCATTTTAAATGTAGCTCTTAACTGTGAAACTGTACCTTGATGAGTCTATATTCTAACGTTCAGAAAGGATTATTGCAGGTAACTCAGTGTTGGAGACCACTATGAAATGACTCTGAACAGGATTTAAGTTTTACTAATTGGCTTTGTATGATTATCTGTGAATCTGTCCTAGGCCACATCCCTTGCCTAGTGATGGCAGCTGATTCATAAGTCAACCTCTTTGAATCACTGGTCCTGGCTGAGGTCTGTAGTAACCTGTGAGGCCAGAGATACCTCAAAGGGCAAGATAAGGCCACAGATGTGGACACTTGGCTCAAACATCAATTAAGTAGACAGAGACTGCAGCTGCAGGAATTACTCATACAGTCTCATTTTAACCAATGTCTTCATGATAAAACAGTTCTATTGAATTGACTTGATTCTTTACTTGGAGACGTCCTTGAAGTGACCTCACGGTCCTGCTTATTACTTGCACTTTCCTCAGTTTCCCCACCTTTTGTCCTTGGTCGTAATAAAAGTGGGCTGATCCAGAGAAGTCTTTGTTTTAGTCCTTGAAGTCTTGAGCTCAATTTAAGGGTTTTGACCCTACTGGAGCCCTAAAACCATACAACTTGACTTATTTATTTAAACTTCCACTGTACACTCATTTGGGAGATCAGGGATCTAGGTCAGGGCCTTATAACTCAATATATATATATATATATATATATGTGTGTGTGTGTGTGTGTGTGCAAATTCTTGCAAAGTGACTATCCTTGAGTGTTACGAGACACTGAAAATAAAATCTTCATAATATCAACCAATAGCTTCTGTAAACTATGTTCTGAAGTTACCATGAAAGAGAACATACATTTATTCCTTTCTTTAGCAAAATAACCTCAGCTGGATTTAGTGTTACCTGGAGATTTCTCTTATTCAGAATTATTTTTCTAGGATTTCTTTTCTGTTTCCTCACTATCGAACTTTCTTTAGCATTCATTCCTGAGGTGAAAAGTAATATCATTTCTCCAGTGACACAAATTAGAAATCTCCTACCTAATCTAATCATCTACATTCAGTTCCTGATATAATTTGCACAACTGGCAGGAAAAAGCCAGTGAGTTGACAGAGATATGGCAAATGATTTGGGAGTGGGGTTGATAGCCAGCAGGTGACATCATATACAATTTCTCTTGTTTGTTTTTTTGTGGCTGATGTAGTTGTCCTCTGAGATTTCATTCCTTCAAAATAATTTTTGGTGTTGATGTAGTAAGACAATTGTTTTCCAAAAGTTTAATACTAACCAAGACATTTACCAGTAAAATAAAAAAATGTTATAGCTTTTACAGGTTTATGATAAAGCTGTTTAAAATTGGATGTCATATAAATTAGTATTTGAACCAGGGTGCTGTTGAGAATAAAAATGAACAGTAGTAATAATTTCACAAAGATATAGAAGTAAATCACATTGCTCAGACAAACTAATATTTTCATATACCCTGCCCATATGTTTATTCACTATCCAGTTCCCTCTAAAATAATTTGTGAGCGTCCACAATTGAAAAGACAGATACTTTCTAAAAACTGCTTCTCTATGACACAGTTTAACTAGGTGTTAATAAAAGACAACCTGAGAATGAAACAGAGAAGACCCTGTGCTTCCTGTGTTACTTTAAATTGACAAATCATAATTCGGTAATTTGTGGGATATAATATGATACTCTGTATAATGTACTGTGATTGAATTAAGCCAATGAACATACTCATCATCACCAAGTTTTAAGATGAAGCATTTGCAATGTACTTTCCCAGGTAGTCTGTAATAAATAATAGTGTGGCACATTGTTTTTGACTATAGCCATTCTATTGCACAGAGTAGTATATTTGACAGCAGGTAAATGGATGAAGGAAATGTGACATGCCCCTGGCAAAGGAAGACTTCCTGTCAGATCCAAAACATAGATTAGTTTGGGTATCATTGTGCTAAGCAAATAAGTCAAGCACAAAAAGAAAACAACCCCACAAACTCACTTATATAGGATGTAAAAATCACAACACTTGGTCTGAAATAAACACATGCTTATCCTTCTTGATTAGCATAATAGTACGCTATTTTATTTCACTGCCTTTCAAAGTGATGTGCAATTAACAAAACCATCCCTGGCATTGCATTGATTTCTGTACACATTATCAAATATGTTGATTTGTTCTATGGGTAGATAAAATTCTATATCCGAGAAAGAACAGAAGCTCACTGTTGTCATGATTTCTCTTGACCAGGGTTTCTTATTTCTATTGTACTTGGGACGTATATAACTCTATTTCCAGAAATTCTACCTCTGAAGTCATTGGGAAATGTTCAAGAACTCGGATGTTTTAAGAGCATTTCTGCTGATTTACATAGAGGTGGTTCGTGGATGCTGTGTTAATACATTTTAAGAAGTAATAGTGTATATAAATACATCTTCTACAAGATAGTCATCTTACTTCCTAACTACAATTTCTAAATATTATATGTGAAGAAGCTTAAGAGGTTCTTTAATTCATTCATTTACTCAATAATTTTTTAATGAAAACTCTGCTGGATTGTGGGCTTAAAAAAATTATACAAGATTCTTTTTCAAGTAGTGGAAAG